CCCTCTTGTTAATCCCTGCCTGCGGCTGGTCATAATCCTGTGTGCCAGTGGGTGGAAACGCCCACAAAGTCCACAGACTGTGCCTGCCATAGAAGGCAAGGGATCAATGTCAGTGCCGCCTTCCCCGTCTTATACAGGAGTAGGTGAGGCCTGGAGGTGTCAGGTTTTGGAGGCAAACACAATAGGTCCTCAAAGCATGTGCCAGCCAGGCCAGGAAGGGCAAGTGTGGGAGAGTTGTGAAGTCTCTTTTTAGGATGCTTAGTGACAGCTAATCTGTTTCACCCTCACTCCCTAGCCTCACCTGCTTCCTCCCACCAAACCACAGGGTTCTGGGCTTCCAGCCAGGCAGCCTGGGATTTAGCTCCTTTGTGGGAAAGGTAGCCTTTTGGTTTTCATTCTTTAGAGCTATGTAGGCAGTAGGTGTTTCGTAAGGATGCTTGGCCGAACAGTGGAACATTATTTTGCATCTAGCCACCTTTCTGGCTCTTACAACCACGTCTTCTTTTTTTTTTTTTAACATCTGTCTGATTTTAATGTTCCTTCCTCCCCCGCTTGCTTGCTTTCTTTCTTTCTTTCTTTCTTTCTTTCTTAGGCTCCACATCCAACGTGGGGCTTCACCTCACCACCCTGAGGTCAAGAGTCACCCACTGTACCGACTGAGCCAACCAGGAGCCCCGCAGCCAGCTCTCGTGTCATCTGACCCACCCTCTGGCTGTGTGGACGCGAGCACTCTGTGCCCTAGTCAGGCCACACTTTGCACCACTCTCCAGGCCTTGGCCACACTGTGACCTGCTCTTGGGACCTCCTCCCGCCAGTTCCTGTCTGGAAAACTCCTATGTATCCTCCACGGCTCTACATAAACGCGAAGCCTTTCCTGATTTTTCCATGAACGGAACACGTGGGAAACTGCCAGTTTGGTTTGGCAGAAGTTGATTTTTCCTTCTAAGCTTTTTTGCCTGACATTTGTTTATTAGGAAAAATTTCCAACGTACGAAAACGTTGAAAGGGTTTTTACCGTGTACACCCATATACCCACCACTTAGATGATGTCATTAATGCTTTACTCTTGCTTTATGACATCTCTTGGTACTGATCCATCCTTCTTTTGATCTGTTAATCATCTTATAACGTCATACATTTCAGGTAAATGGGAGACCTTGAGACACTTCCTCCTGAACGCTTCAACCTGCATATTACCTTTTTAAGATTTTATTTTTCTTATTTTTATTTATTTTTAATTAAGAGCTTTTTTAATGTTTATTCATTTTTTTTAAGAGACACACACACACACACACACACACACACACACACACAGCATGAGTGGGGGAGGGGCATGTAGTTGACTCCAGGCTTCGAGCCCTCCAGCCCACAGCCCGACGTGGGGCTTGAACTCACGAACCGTGAGATCATGACTCGAGCTGAAGTCAGAGGCTTAACCAACTGAGCCACCCAGGCGCCCTCCCATTTTAGCATTTTAAACGAAAGTCATATTCCTTATCCAGACATCTAAAATGGAAATAATAAAATATCCATTCTTTGCAATAATGGTGACGATTAATTCTTATATTCTCGAAGCATATTTATAAGGTACAAAGTGACTGTGTGGGCATTTATTGTATACCATGACTTTTTTTTTTTAATTTTTTTTTTAATGTTTATTTATTTTTGAGACAGAGAGAGACAGAGCATGAATGGGGGAGGGGCAGAGAGAGAGGGAGACACAGAATCGGAAACAGGCTCCAGGCTCTGCGCGGTCAGCACAGAGCCTGACGCGGGGCTTGAACTCACGGACCGCGAGATCATGACCTGAGCCGAAGTCGGACGCTTAACCGACTGAGCCACCCAGGCACCCCTGTATACCATGACTTTAAAAGGTAGATATTAGTCTCAGTGTTTTCCAGTTGAGACAACTGGAATTCGGAGAGAGAGCAGTTTCCTGAAAAGTCGCTGCCTGTCAAGAGCACGCGTGTGCACAGTCTTCAAAGGTTCACTGAGCAGCTGCCCCGTGCCAGGCACATCCCGGCTGCTGGAACATTGCAGAAGAGAGCCAGACAGCAGTTCTGCCCCAGAATGGCTCCCAGCTTCGTGCGGAAGGCACTCACCCCTTTCTACGGTCACAGGGCAGCAGGGAAGGAGAATCAGGGCAAGTGGGACCCAGGACTTCTGTCTCTCCACCCGGAATGCTTTCCTCACTCTTTCCCCCATGGTCTCCTGGAGGATGAGGCCAGGACCTGGCTCTTCGAGACCGGGAAGGCTAAGGCAGAGGAAATCTTCACTGTGGCTGGTCTCCCTGTTCTCACTCCACCTACCCTCCCCCGATCAGTTTTCTTTGACCTCCTGGGCCTTTGTATATGCCGCTTTGGTGGGAGATTTAGGAGTTTGGCCTGGAAGAGGGGACTCAGGAGGCCAAACTACACGTTTACTGTGCGACACGGAAGTCTGGTGACTGCCATAGAGACCCTATGGCACCAGAGCAAGATAGGGCCTTCAGCTCCAAAGGAAGGCAGAGAGGAGAGGAGGCCAGATTTTTACTTTTCCTTTCTTCCTTCTTTTCCTCTATCTTCCTTTATTTTTGGCAGGGGTGGGTAGGGATAGAGGCTTGAGCATACCTCGGGGCTGATGGGCCAGGTAGAAGCCGGTGATTCAGTTGTGAGGTGGTGAAACCCACAGTACAGGCTGGAGGGGTGGTCACCCTAGCACAAAAAAAGATCGACCTAGGAGGAGGCTAGGAGGCGGGGAAGTCATAGCGATTGATGAGCCAATTACGTGTTTGCTAGGGGCCAGTGGTTTTTGCTCAGAAAGGCAAACGGGGCAGGGAGGGAGGGATTGATCTGGAATCAGGTACATGACAGAGGGCTCAGCCAGATGCTGTGGGAGCGTGGTGTGCAGAGGGAGGAGCCAGTCTGCCTGGGAAGGTGGTGCAGAGACAGAGGGCATCCCAGGCTGCCAGCATGGGTGCAGAGGGGTGAATAAGCCTGACCTGTTTGGAGGTGGCTGAGTGATTGGAGGGCAGGGCCCAGGAGAGGCTCTGGCAGGTGATGAAGCAAGATAAACAGCTACAACAGGATTGCAGCCTCTTCATATAGGAATTTGGCCTTTTTGCAAATACCTATAATTCAGGTCACCAGTAAGCTTTCCTCGGAGGAGGTCTTTGGAAAGGGCCACTTGGAAGGTGTAATCTGGGGGTGGGGCTTGGCTTTGCCTCCTCCGTATCTCTTCTTTGGCACATTAAAAAAAAAAAAAATGGGTGGCCTGCTTTCTTCTATTAAGTTTCGAGA